AAGCGCTGCCGTCGTGAAGTCTGAACGCTGCCTTAGTTTCGTTTCACTGAAGACATTTCGTGAATTCCAATAAATCACGATTTCTCTGCGTCGCCAAGCTTACAAGGAGGCATTCGTTACAACGAGATATGTTGATGAGAGGTTAGATCGCAAATGGGGGAAAAGAGGGTTCAATATCATGAAAAAAAACTTTTGAAACCTAAATTCCATGAGCGATGGAAACATCACCGCTGCTGGTTATTCCCCTCGGCTCTGAGCTTCAGGAACTGGGAAAGGGCTGCGGTGAACAAGTAAACTCGCATGATTAGCGACTTTTCGATATCGCTCTGTTCTCCTCTTTACCCACAGAATCCACCAAAAAAAGTTTTCATGACCACGGAAAGACCATAGAAACGCTGAGGCCTTGAGTATTTACAAAAATCATTTGCAGATCTCTTCCATACACAAGAAATTACACAAAATCTCTCTCCATTCTCGCTGCGTTTCTTCTGTTTAATCATGGTTTCCGGTGAGCAACGGGTACACAAAAGCATGTGCTCCTACCTGTTACGAAGACCAAAAGCTGAGGCCGCATCAAGCGGATTGCAGTCAAAGTAATTTGTCGATACAATAGGACGGTAAGCAACCTCTGCCAATAAAAGAAAATAAATGCCAGGGGTCCTGTTAACGTAGCGGAACACTTACTTCCTCCATCTGCTCCACATCGCTGTTCAAGTTTTGATAGAGAAAGAAAGTCGAAGACAAGCGGTCCATCACCACCTGCAGTATCTGTATCCATCGTGTGCTCTGGCTGCATCTGTATTTCAGATTGGCTCTCTATTTTCACGTCTTCCTGAAAAGGCAGAGTATTCACTTAGTTTTAGCGTTTACCATAACATACAACCCAGTCATGACAGAACTGTTGAATTGCCTGAGCAATCAATTTGGGAGTGGATAAAAGAGTATACGAACTGAATATACGACGAAATCGTACCGGTTTTTCGGACGGCAAATCTATAACCACGACCTCTGTCTGACGGATTCCATGGTAGTCCATCAAGATAGGTACATCTTCACTTTTGCAAAGTCGGATACGGAACTTGTCGAGCTAAATTAAATGATTTGCTCAAAACAGACGAGACATATTCGCTGTGAAGTTTGCTTAACTTCGGGCCACGCTCAATCTGTGAGACCGAAGAATGGAGAAATGTGCGAATTGGGAGGAGACGATCGACTCCCATCTAGGCTTTTGGCACGCACTCGTGCGCTTCGTGTATTCTCCGAATCTCGACTGTCGCAAAGCATAAACGAAAATGACAGAGGAATGCCGAAATCTTTTGAGAATATCTGGACCGTGCTTACAAAGGCACAGATCCCACCATTAAACAAGAACTGTACGATCACCTCCAAGGATCCTGATCCTCGCTGCACGAAAAAAAAG